AAGAAATTGAAATTTAAAGCACAAGGTGTTGTTTCAATGAATACTACAAGAAGGGGGGGGGGGGGGTTGAATTGTAGTATGAGACTTTAGCCAAACTTTTTGCGGAATTAAGATTAAGTAAGCTAAAGGAACAGAAAGATTAACTAAAGGAACTAAAGAATGCAAGAGAGATTTTTACGTGGAAAACTCCTTGGCCCTAACAAGGAGAAAAACCACGACCACTTGGGATTTTGGAAAAAGAATCTTCACTAGAATAGGCAAATTGTCCTATTACAAAGTACAAACTAAAGACTCAAACTCAAGTTCCTCTACGAACCTGAAACCCCGAGGAACAAGTCACCCAACTTGTTACTCTTCTCTTTCTCTCTTCTCACTTCTCTGTTCTCTGTTCTCTCTTCTCTTTCACTTCTCTTTCTCATACACAAAAGTTCACTCAAACTTTCCCATTCCCCAAATTACAACTCGAAAGATAAACAAACTCTAGTATAAGAACATTAATAACACTCTAATAAACTTGTGTGGAATTGACACTTGACTCGAATTAAAAGCTAGAAAACTTATGTGAGCAAGGGTGAGTTTTTCCATCTGAAATCAACAGCTATTTATAGATAAAAATTCGTTTAGGAAAAACTTCTTTGTGCAGCAAATCCACAACGCCACTACTCCAACCCACTAAGAAGATCATGTTCCTAAAATTAAGGAAACATGAACTCCTCAATGTGCAAGACCATGACTTAAAGAAAATCATGGAGGATTAGGCCGCAAGTTTAGAAAACGTGGGAGATTTTATTTGCAGAAGATATTTTTAAAAAATCAGAAATAAAATCTTTTTGGTTAAGAAAAAGATAATCGTTAAAGACTTATCCACTTTTCTAAAAACTAGCATGCACAATTTTATCTTTTAAGACCAATTCCACACAGCTTTTTCGAGTGCAATTTAATATCTTATACTTACATAAATCCTAGAATATAAAATATATTTTAGTCTTCATGTCTCTAATGAAGCTTCTACTCCGAGGCTTCTGTTCCTTGGGAGGAACTTCTCTTCTCTGATGAGGCTTCTTCTCTGAAGCTTCTGTTCCCTGAGGGAACCTTCACTTCTCCAGTCTTCATTTCTGAAGCGCCAGTTCCTGTGAGGGAACTCTTCTATATGGATAGCTCTGCTTCTGGCCTTCTTGTTCCTCATGGTATTTTTACAAGACACTTAATTCTCCTAGTCTTTGTAACTGAACACACACTTAAACAATCAAGCACTTATTAGTTTGTAAGTAAGTGATGTTGTGTCATCATCAAAATCATTAAGTCCAACATAAGGGTTTCAAGAACAAGAACCCTAACTCTAAATGTGTTTCTCTCAATTTGGGAATAATAAACCAAATAACCCCAAATGGGTATTTATACCCCCAACAAATCTAGACAGGGTATCAAGTAAGCACATACGTGCTAGCCCAGATAAAACATTCCAATAGCTGCGACTCGTCTGGAATTCCAGCTGCAGTACGAACGTGCCAATTTGGCATAGACGTGCAACCCATGTTCACATTCTATTTTAAGAATGTTGCAAATAATGTATTATTTCCATAGAAAAGTGTTTCTAATAATCGACACCCAAAAACCTGGACTTTTTTTTTAATTACTCTATGAGACCAAGCAAAAGTAGGTTTAGTCAATGAAATTGCTTGAAGATAAAAAAAAATTGTCTAATACATAGTACAAAAAATGCTAATAGAGTTACAAGAACAAATTAGTTGATCATCCAAAAGTTGCTAATAGAGTTAATAGTTTCACTATTCATGTGTACTGTACGTTATTGGCCAAGTTGCTTGATCGCTTATAGAATATTGCATTTTGATGAATATGGGAGAGTAGAGATTTTTTTTTTTTCATACTCTGATTTGTAGAAAAATAAAGCACAAGCCTGAATACTAATATCACACTTAAGCGAAAAGTGTTATCATTAAAATAAACCGAGGGGGTAACTATCTAAATAAGTTTCTTAAATTAGTTTCTGAAAAGGAAAAAAAAAAAAAAAAACTTAAATTAGTTTTATGAGAAAAAGCTTATTGATATTTAATGTGTAAGATATACAACTATACAAGTATATTATGAGTAGTTTAGTTGATTAATATATTAGGAATTATACTCGAGAATCAAAGTCAAATCTTATTTATATATGCGTCTTTTGTGATTCCCTTCATATTAATGTAGGAAATAAATCTATCTATACTTAGTATTTAAAAACTATAACCAATAAACTAAGAAAGACACATGTCCTCATCCTTTCTATTACACTTTTTTAACCATAGTGTCACATGTCATCTTACACGCACTATTAATTTTTTATTACACCATTTTTTTTTAGTATTTAAAAACTATAACCAAGAAACTAAGAAAGACACATGTCCTCATCCTTTCTATTATACTTTTTTAACCATAGTGTCACATGTCATCTTACACGCACTATTAATTTTTTATTACACCATTTTTTTTTAGTATTTAAAAACTATAACCAAGAAACTAAGAAAGACACATGTCCTCATCCATTCTATTACACTTCTCTAACCATAGTGCCACATGTCATCTTACACTATTAATTTTTTATTACACCATTTTTTTTAATTCTTTCATTAAACTTATACTTCATATTTCATACACACTTCATCTCTTCATCTTCATATCTCCCCTTTAATTAAACCTTTTCCTATTTCTCTTTAAGTTTAGCCCTTTCACTTCTATTTAAACCTCTTTTTCAATTAAAGTTCCAAAATTTTAATTTTTTTTATTCATGTTTCCGATTACATATTATACCCTATAATGACTTATTGATATTTCCTCACTTATCTTAACCCATTATCAAGCGTGTCATAAATAATAAAAAAAAAATGTACATAAGTGTAAACTACATGATTTAATTATTAAAAAAAACATTCAATAATATTGATTTCATATTTCAAAATCTTAAAAAATGCTCTAATTGCACGATTATAAAAGTAGCAACCCGGGGCAACACCCGGTCTACTCACTAGTTAAAGTAAAAAGAAAAAACCGTGTAACACTACTCTTTAATTATACTCTTCTCAAGATATCTGGCCTATGATTGTTATATGGCTTATGTTGGAAGATGTCACAACGAGAATTTCTTCCCTTTCTCAATAGATGAGGCCTTAAAGGAATCTATTCCAAGACCAATCATATTACTTCAATTTTATTCACAAATTTAGTGTTAAGTGATTTTATTCGTTGTCCAATACGTATAATGCCCTAAGATCAGATCTTAATAGAGCATAGATAATATACTTTTACTATTTTATTGGCTATTAATCTTGAAGCATAAGGTAATAAACTAATTGTCTAATAAAGCTGCCAATTCAAGTTGTGATTCTATTTCTATTATCTTGTAGTATCTCTTTTAGGCCAACTTAATAAAAAATGGGAATTCGCTTTTGATCAATGGATAAGTGACTGGCTTGGCGTACACTTTTATATTCCATCTGTTTATTATTTTTACTTTTTACCTATTTTTATGTTTGTTAATACATAACTTATACTCAACTACAGATAACTTAAACTACTAATAAAAAATGATATTATGAAAATGTATATATATATTGAGACGAATTTAAAGACTACACATGATAATATTTTAACTAAAGTATTTCTTGAAATAAATTAGTTTAACTTAAGTATAAATCATTAAAGATAATCAAAGCCTGACGTGTGAAGAGTATAAAACACTACAAGAAAACAACCTTTTCGTAGTGATTATTTTAACCTTTAGTATCGATTGTAATTGCAACAAAAAGCTTTCCCAACGAATGGTCATTCGATACAATATCCCCCGTTGCCTTAGCCTTTAGTAGTGGTTTTCAATATCGTTGGGGTTGGCCTCAATAATCGATACGAAAAACTATATCCAATCGTGGCGATTATTGTAGCGATTACAATCGCTATAAATGTTTAACTCATTTTCCTTAAAAAAAAAAAAAAAAAAAACATGCGTATGATCTTTACAAGTTTCGAACATGCAACCTCAAAACAATATTTATATATCTAGTGTTGAAAAGGCTTTTCGTGTCGATTTTTAGGATTTAGTGGCGATTGTAAATGATACGATTTCTCAAAATTATATAAATGTGTAAAAATAGTGTGGATATGTATTATTATGTTTTCTGTATCGATTTTATATGGGAAAACCATGGCGAATGTAAAATGATACAACTTTCTTAATTATTTCACAAACATACTTGCATATTGTAGCAAATGTACAATCGCTACAAAATAATCGCTACGAAAAGACATTTTTCTTGTAGTGAAAGTTGAAGCATTACAAGTCTTGCAACTATATATAAACGAAAATTTTTAAGATTAATTAAGAACTGAAATTTTTGGTCTTCGACTCTTCGTATTCATTTGCTGTTTTGGAATTTTATTTTATTTTATTATTATTTTTTTAACGAGCATTTCTTAAGATCAAGAACTGTAAACGATATCTTTACATTAATGTATATGCAGTTCACATGTGAGTATGTGACAATTTTATAGTTATGTTATATATAAAATATAATATATTCCATGAATTTAAATTGACCGTACCATTACATTGAAATAAATTGCCCATCATTTTGGAAGCGTGATATCAAAGTGTTGTTGTAACGAACATACTTATCTATAGTATATGATATTATGATATGATAAAGTTACATTTGCACTTGTATAGTCGTAGTAGAGATTGTGAACATCAACTTTTACCTTTAACTTTGTTGAGAAGTTAAGACAAGAAGAATATATACCAAGACTATATTTTTTTTTTTTTAAGAAAAAAACATATTGTACTTTGGACACGGTGGTCCATGCGAATAATGGGGACCGGCTCGAAGTTGGTTGGCTATAAATTAACTCCATAGCATAGCTTGAGGTTTGATCATCAGTTTCCTTCCAAATTTAAATCTCCGATAATACATATATTTTCCGATAATACATATCTCTAACAATCTGTGATGATGGCAGATGAAGGTCAACACCAAGACGAAGATAAGCTAAATGCAGATTTATTCCACGCCCTTAGCCATGATGACGATGAGCAGGTCATAAAGCTTTGCAATGAGATTGAAGGTGGTCCATTGTATAATATGACCTTACACCAATCAACTGTGCTTCATATGGCATGTTTCCTTAAAAAACTTAAGTTAGCAGATAGACTATTGGACATAGTTTTTGCTAACGCTTCGTCAGATGAGCTCTATCAAAAACTATCTGAACCAAAAAATGCTTGGGGAAACACCGTAATCCACGACGCAGCCACCTCCAACAAAGGAATCCCATTTGTTGAGAAGCTGTTGAACAAAGTACCTGTTCTGATAAATGTAAAAAATAAATGGGGCGAGTCTCCTCTCATCCAGGCTATCCGCTATGGCAGGAAACGTATGTACAAATGTCTTGTCAATCAAGTCAAGTATTGTGAATCACAAGGTTTAACAAAGAATGAACGCCTTGTATTCTTAAAACGCAAAGATAACATGACCATTCTTCACATGGCTATCCTCACTAGAAAATTTGGTCAGTTTCATCTATCCTTGTCTTTATGTTTTAATTTGTTCAAATAATTACCGAGGTTTTAAACTTGTAAATTGTAATTTGCAGATGTTGCGCTTGACATAGCTAAGAGATATCCAGAGCTATATGATGAAAAAGATAGTCATAAAATGACTGCTCTTCAAATGCTTGCGCACAGTCCAACAGCATTCAAAAGTGGAACTATATTAGGACCTCTACAAAAGCTTGTCTACTCATGTATGTGCTGTAATTCTTTTCAACTCTCTTCACATTTTCCTACTCATGTCACATATGAGTTGAGAGCTAAGTAGGTGACAAAATTTGATGTTATACAAAATAGTAGGTGGTAAAATTCATAAGAAAAACCGTAGGTGGTAATTCCTAAAACAACAATTATTACAAGTGGTAAGTGTCAAAAATTCATATTATTAATACCTGTTGTGATATGTTTGCTATTTTATTTTTCCAGTTGTCTCAACTGATGAACAAGACGCAACTGCAGAAGTTGGCATGACCGGAAAAGACAGTAATTTTATATTTGGTAGGAGATGTAAGTACGAGATTTGTAGGCTATATATGTAACTATGATCCATAATATTTGTTGTATTTGCTCATTATCAACTTAATTGTCTTAGGCTGCAAATTTGCCATGATAGAAGAAGTTAGAGAGAAGAAGGGCAATCAGGACGCGCTTCAGCTTGCCAAGATGTTGATCAAATCAGATAAATCTTGGAAGAACACATATTTTCCACTAGCGGAAACTACTCCTAATATAGGTAAAAAGAAGACAGCGCTGCGGCATGTACGCCTCTACGATCTCGCGATACTGAATCAGTCCGGTGTAGAGGGTCCTGGGTACCCTATTACTAGGGTTCTGGCCGAAAGGCATCCAGTTCACCTGCACATTATTTAAAATCAGTAACAGTCATAAAATAAAGCATCAGATTGTAAAAGTAGAAATAATTTAATCACTGTACCTCTAAGGGGGACATCCTGTCAAGCGATAACCGTATGGAGCGCAGGCGGTCAACGGACTTCTTCTCGACACGCGGACTCCACGCACAGGCACGTGGCTGGCCATCACCAATGGGAACCGGGTCGCGGTGTGGTCGAAACGCAGGAAAATACTCGTATATCCAGGTCTGTAACAACGTCAGACATCCAGTGATACCTGCTGCATCAGCCCGGCTCGAGAATCCTAACTGGCGATACAGATACGCCAGCGTAGCCGACCCCCAAGAAAACTGGCCTACTCTGTCGGGCTCACACGCGTCAACTATGTCGCGTGGCCTGAGCTTGTTCCCGCTCTTATCCGGAAACAAGGTACACCCGAGAAGAAGAAAAACATATGCAGCCAGCTGTGTGTCCTGTGTCCTACGTGCCGTAGGGTGCAAACATCGCTGCAAGACGGCTGCGATCTTAACGCCGCCGTGATCCCACACACCAAGTGCCGATGTGTACAGCGCAGCCCTATCCACCGCCAACAGCTCCGCTAGTAAATCTGCCTGATCCGCATCAGTGACGACAGATGCTCGGTTTCCCTCCACGGGAATCCCAAGGATGGCCTCGATGTCATGCAACATGATCGTCATCTCACCGAACGGAAGGTGGAACGAGTTCGTATCCGGCTGCCATCGCTCAACGAAAGCCGTGATCAGCGTCCAGTCAATCCTGTCGTGCATGGTGGCAGGAAGGTGACTCACTCTAGTGCCCCTCAATCGCCCGACCATCTCGCTCTCCTCCGGCCAAGCATCAGCCCAGCTACACAAAAACCTACAAGTCTTTTCCCGGGTTTGGCATTTCAAAATGCCTGTATCCAAAGCCCTCTCCTGGTCCTCCCAAATACGGGTAGCGATGTGTCCTAAAAAGCTAGGAATCACACTCCCGTCTATAGGTCCCCCGGCCACCTCACCCCTCACCATCCAAGAATCATTAACGGCCCTCGACCGTTTTCTGCTACCCGCAGACACAGTGGACGCAGATGATGTGCCAGATCTACTAACAAACCTACCATCTCGACCCTTACGCACATCTACCCTATGCGTCTCATACGTATCATCAAGCCTCTGACTGAATGGACCGTAATCATCATATGGTCCACTCTGATCGTCGACATCCTCATCTGCATCATCCTCGTCCTCGACCTCCTCCTCCTCGACCTCCTCCTCCTCCTCCTCATCATCATCATCATCATCTTGATCGTCCGCAGAACAGTGCACCCGTTCTCTGCGGGCCGAGGCCGAAATACCACGGGATCTAACGTGTCTGGGCCCCGAGCTCTCCATTGAGTAGATCGTACTCCTCACGACGTCAATACTCTTCCCCGCACCAGGTCTAAATTGCGATGCCTAACTCCAAGTAAATAACGAAACATAATAACGAAAACAAATTAAAAAAAGTCGAAAATAAACACAAAAGCAAATAAACAAGTCACGGAAATAAAATTATAAACATAAAAAATATAAATATATACAAGACAATATACATATAAACATAAGAAATATAAACATAAACATATACCAAAAACAAAAAATATAAACTACAAACAAAAAAAAAACAAACATAAACAAAAACAAAAACAAAAAATATTACCAAAAACAAAAAATATAAATACAAAAAAGGACGAAAATAAACACAAAAGCAAATAAACAAGTAACGGAAATAAAATTATAAACATAAAAAATAAAAATATAAACAACACAATATAAATAAAAACATAAAAAATATAAATATAAACATAAAAAAATATAAATATGAACAAAACAATATACCAAAAACAAAATATATAACCAAAAACAAAAAATATAAACAACAAACTAAAAAATGAAAAACATAAACAAAAACAAAAAATCAAAAATGCAAAGAAAAAACCAAAAACAAAAAACTAACAAAACTTAAAAAATTTAAAATTGCAAAAACTTAAAAAAAGAAGAACATCAAAATTTTAAAGAAAATTTATAAAAAAAAAAGGGAACTTATAATTTTTTTACATACAAAAATATAATTCAAAAAAAAAAAAAAAAATACATAGGAACATAAAATTAAAAATTAAAACCAGATACAATTTTTTTTTTAAAAAAAAAATAGAACATAAAATTAAAACAAATAAAAAAAAAAATTTAAAAAAAAAAAGATAAAAAAAAAAAGGGAACATACAATTTAAAAAAAAGAAAAACAAATTTTTTTTAAAAAAAAAAAAAAAATTCGAAAATAAAATTTAAAATTAAAAAAAAACATTTAAAAAAAAAAAAAGAAGGAGGCGCCTAGGCAAGACGCCCGTACGGTGGTGGCGGCGCCTAGCCCAGACGCCACTACCACGGCCGTGGCGCCTAGCCTCTGCGCCGCCGCCGTGGTAGTAGCGTCTGGGCTAGGCGCCGCCACCACCGTATGGGCGTCTTGCCTAGGCGCTTCCTCCGTGGTGGTGGCGTCTCGCCTTGGCGCCCCACCGTCGCCGGAGGTTTTTTTTTTAAAAAAAAATTACAAAAATTAAAAAAATTACCTTCTGGCCGGCAAACCGCCTTCCGCCCACCGCCGGTGCCGCCACTTCCTTACCGGGCCGCCTCGACATAGCTCTGGAAATAATTTAGAGAGAGAAAGTGGAAGTAGAGAGTAGAGAGAGAAATTGTGTGTTTTTTAGTATGAGGGCAAAAGTGTCATTTCACTCTTATTTTGTGGGCTTTATGTAGGAATTTGCGGGCGATGTTTAACAGTTCACAAACAATATCCAATCCGAAACTACGATTGTTTAACCTGGAATTTTAAGGTTCGTTTCGCATTATTTTTTATTTTTTTATTTTTTTATAAGTATAAAATATATATCTCATAATCAATTAAAAATTATTTAAACTTATTAAATCATGATAACTTTGAAAATTGACAATTAAAAAGTAAAAATACATTTTTCTTGTTTCTTTTTAATATGATGCCAAGCCCTTAGGTGCTAGATCCCGGTTATAGAATTTTGGATATTTCAGACAGATTTCCGTAAAAGAAATCAAGTTTTGGGATTGGACGCATCTGAATTTATGAATTTATCCAAATTTCAACGACCCGACACAAAAGCCCTGTGATTCGATCAAAACCCCGATTATTCAATCTGAAAATCTGGATATCAAAATTAAACAATCCTAATGCACGATTTAAAAAAAAAAAAAACAAGAATTATCATAAATATACTATACTTTTTTTTGGTAGGAAGTAAAAAAATTATTAATAAATGATAGTCAACAAAAACTATACTTAGGGCTTTTTTTTTTTAATTAAAGGATACTTAGGGCTTGTTTAGTTCACCTTATTTTTGTTGAGCTAAGTTAAGTTGATCTGATCTGGTATGTACAATAATCTATATATCAAGAGGGGTCTTTTTATTCTTTTGAAGGGCAACTGGGTCTTGTTAAATTTGTAACAATGTGTATTTTATTAATATGCAATTTTCAAAATTTTTTACATTACAAAATTTAAAAATATTTAGCACAAATTAAAGTTTGTATTCATCTAGGAGTAAACTAACTTACGAAGTATTAATTTTAGACTCAACAATCTTGACAATCCTAGTTCTAATTGAATACTTATAATACTTGTACTAATACTCGTATTATTATGAGACGGAAGGAATATTAACTGTACATGATATATGAACTCTGCCTCACGACCTTTATTCAATTAACACCCTTGGAATTTCTGTTGATTCATCCCACCAAAAACAAGGTGGGCAACTCAGCAACTTTCATTCTCTCTCTTCTCTCTTACCACTTAGCAGCCCTAGAAATTTTTCTCACTTGTTCATCACTTTGCGTTTCAATTTCGATTATCTCAATGTTGATTCAGTGACCAATTCAGGTGTTTCCAGAACTCAATCACTAATCGATCAACAATTGCCAATTTTCCTGCTTTTTCTTCAATTTTCTGTATTTCCAGGTAAATTTCATTGTCAATTGCAATTCTGTTGATTGAATTCATTAATTGGAAATTTAGCTGTTATCAGATTAATTTTAGGTTAGATTTTGAAATTATAGGCGTGATCTTAATTTTGGTTTTCCTCTTTTAGATCTAATTCACGTTTTTGCTGTTTATCTCCCCTCAGTTGAAGCGTACTCTGAATCCTCCATTGTCAAATTCCTTGCTTTCTCTTCAATTTTGTTGATTTAAAATTAATTATGTTTTCAACTGCAATGTTGTTGAATAAAATTTATCTCTTTTCTGTTGTTAATTGATTGAAAATTTTGTTGTTAAGAGATTAATTTTAGGTTAGATTTTGAATTGTGATAAGGGATTTTGTTAGATGATGACTAGGGTTTGGTTTTTTATGTTTGGAAGAATTTTGATTACGTGAATTTACATGGAAGACTATGTTGTTGATGTAGTTAGTGTTGTTCGATTTCGGATCAGGTTGATTGATCTCGTAGGAGTGTAGTTCTTGGAAGGGGGAAGGAAGTGAGGGAATAAGATGGCAACTGGAAATCCAGGTCGTCCTAATGTCCCAGGTCCCCCACCTGTTAATAGTCCATTTGCAGCAGCTGCTCCCCCCACTACGAGTCCCTTTTTATCGTCCGGTCCTGTGGCCGGTAGACCAGATGGCCCTGGTGTTAGACCTCCCCCTCCCTCAGCTCCATCCAATGCAGTGCCGTTTGCATCACCTGGCCCCATGGCGGGACCTCCAGTCCCTGGATTCAGGCCTCCACCACCTGTTGGTTTTACTGATCAAACTAGACCTGCTCCTCCTGGATCACCACCGTCACATGCTCCGTCCACATTAAATCAACAGCAATTTTCAGCTCCGCAGTATCCGGGGCCTCCGACAAATCCTCCTATTCGTTCACCTCCTGTTGGACCGCCTAACATGGCCGCTCCTATGGTACCTAATATGCCTCCACCTATCCAACGTCCTGGTGTTCCAGCTCCAACTCCACCCCTTACTTTCCGCCCCAATTCCCAAGCTCGTCCTGTCCAAATGACACCTCCTCCTCAACCTTATGCTCAGGCACCTTCTCAGCCCTACGGTCAGGCACCTCCTCAACCCTACGGTCAGGCACCTCCTCAACCCTACGGTCAGGCACCTCCTCAACCCTACGGTCAGGCACCGCCTTCAGCATCTCCTCCGCAACCTTATGCTCAGGCTCCACCATTATCATCTCCCGCTCACTTTGCACAGCAGCCTGCCTTTGGCCAGCCTCCCTCACAACCTGGTATGCCAATGCAACAACACTTTTCTGCTCCTCCGACAAGTACTATGCAAGGTTTAGTAGAGGATTTCAACTCTCTTTCACTGGGCACTGTTCCTGGGTCAATGGATCCTGGACTTGATGTTAAAGCATTGCCACGGCCACTGGAGGGGGATGTGGAGCCAACTGTCTACAGTGAGATGACACTGAATTGTAGCCCTAAATACATGCGCCTTACTACTAGTGCTATACCAAATTCTCACTCGCTTGCATCAAGGTGGCATTTACCACTTGGAGCTGTTGTATCTCCACTTGCCGAAGCTTCTGAAGGGGTTAGTATCTATGCTGATAGTTCTATTTCAAGTTTTACATGTCAGATACTGTGCTTGCTATATGCTTAACATGGATTTCCCTATCTGTTTTTAGGAGGAAGTGCCCATCTTAAATTTTGGTTCGGCAGGTATTATTCGCTGTAGAAGATGTCGCACATATGTAAATCCTTATGTTACATTCACAGATGGTGGAAGAAAGTGGCGTTGTAACATGTGCGCCTTGCTTAATGATGGTAAGACAACTATTGGATTGCTATTTTCACAATTTTTATAATGCTGTGCACTGGCTTAGATCTTGATGTTCCTCTCTAGTTGTACTGTTGACCTTCATGATTCTTTCTTTCTTTTAATAGGGCCTTTTTAGCTTGCAAAGATTTTTCTTAAACTGACACTGAATGCTCTTTCCTTAGTATTTGTACTGTAGCAATTTTTTTGTTGAATTACCTATGATATTGTTTATCATTATGCCATGGGGCAAAACATATTTGTTTTTTATTAATTTTTTGTGGGGGGGAAAAGCGCTTTCGATTGTGTTATTCTTGTGTGGAGCACTTGCTTTTACAGTCAGTGAATAGATCAATACTTTCATACACCAAAATGTGTTCGTTCAAGATTGTGCTGCCAGACCTTGCCAAGAGATTGACGCTAGCATTTTGCTGTTTTTGTGTAGTCCCTGGCGATTATGTTGCCCCCCTAGATGCCACTGGCAGAAGAGTTGATGCAGACCAACGCCCTGAACTTATCAGAGGCAGTGTTGAATTTGTTGCACCAACTGAATACATGGTGCGAGCACCTATGCCGCCTCTCTACTTTTTCCTCATCGATGTGTCAGTTTCAGCAGTTAGGAGTGGTATGCTCGAGGTAAACAGATAGAACAAGGGAAATAGCTTATTTTTCGATTTGCCTTACGTGCTTCATAATGTTATTTCTCTTTCCCTGGTCCTTAAATGATTTTGTTGTTTACTTTTGATTTTCGTCGTCATTTGCCTTTTCCTTTCTGTACAGCTGCTTCTTATAAATTATTAATTATATCAATTATTAGTCTCCGGTGTCAATGAAAAAAAAGAGTTGAATGCGATGAAGTTAGATAGTGAAGCAGCATTCAGGGTTTTGTTGAAGTTTATAATTGACTTGCCTGGTTGTTGGAAATTCTGACTAAAATGTAGTATATTGAGAGTTAAGGCCCATTTCTTTTGTTTGAAATGAAATTGGGACAACAGGTTAGGGATTTGATCAATTTGAAAAGTGGATTGCCATAGTGGATTATTTTAATGGTGGTTGCACAAGATGCCCAAAAAGAGAGGGGAGCAGATGGATTCGGAGCTGGAATAAAACATTAATTCAGATAAAAATGAAGGAGAGAAAGGGAGGGGGATAAAGGGGGAAATTACCATGGGCTTGTTTTTTTAACGTGTGTGCTGTGGTCATTTTTCTCATGTTTAACCAAATATCTTGCAAAATTTTCTTATGAAACTTTTCTTCTGCAGTATTCAATGCTTGCATTTGTGGTTAATGGGTTGATGTGTCTGTATCTTGCAGGTTGTTGCTCAGACTATTAAGTCTTGTCTGGATGAACTACCAGGGTCCCCTCGAACACAAATTGGTTTCATAACATTTGATAGTACCATACACTTCTACAACATGAAGGCAAGTAGATGTTATTAATAGTGATTTAAGCTCTGGAAAAGGTTCCTTTTTTTTTCTTTTTCAATTGTCTTTTTTGCTAATTCTTGCCCTCCTACTGTTTCCAGTCTACTTTGACACAACCACAAATGATGGTAGTCTCAGATGTGGATGATATATTTGTCCCTTTACCAGATGATCTACTAGTGAACCTTTCTGAATCAAGAAATGTTGTGGAATCGTTCCTAGATAGCTTACCTTCCATGTTTCAAGACACTATGAATGTAGAATCTGCTTTTGGTCCAGCTCTTAAAGCTGCATACATGGTCATGGTATGCTGTTCTTTTTTACTTCAATAATTTGTTTCTCTCATTTGAAAGTTCTATGCTCTTATATCACTTTTTTCTAAAACTGTGTAGTTACATTAAAAAAATTTACTTGCTTACAGAATCAACTTGGGGGTAAATTGTTGATATTCCAAAATACACTGCCCTCTATTGGAGTTGGCCGATTGAGATTACGAGGTGATGACCCTCGGGTATATGGAACTGATAAAGAAGCTTCCTTGAGAGTACCCGAAGATCCATTTTATAAACAAATGGCGGCTGATTGTACAAAGTACCAGATAGGAGTTAATGTTTATGCGTTTAGTGACAAGTACACAGATATAGCTTCATTAGGTATGAGTTGCTCTCGATTGGGAACATATATGTATCAATGTGTCATTGTATATAGTTTGTTCCCCTAAATTGCCATGTAGCTTTTAATGACTATATCTCAACTCTTAACTTTAATGTATAGAAAACAACACAAATATGCCTCTTTTATTTACTAAACTGCATAATAATTGCTTTTTGAAATATGAATCGTTTATGATATTCTTCTGTTTCTATATTTTCTTTTTTTTTTTTTTTTTTTAATTTGACTTTGTTTCATTTGATGTCATGGGAATGTTTCCCTGAAAATGAAATCAGCTATCAGCATCATAGATATGTTGTATGTGAAAGCTAACCTCTCATCTCCCTTGTAGGAACACTTTCCAAGTACACTGGCGGTCAAGTGTACTACTATCCAAATTTTAAGTCAACTGTGCACGGAGACAAGTTGAGACATGAATTGGCTAGAGATCTCACAAGAGAGACTGCTTGGGAGGCTGTTATGCGCATAAGATGTGGCAAAGGTCAATCTAAAATTTATAATTTTACATGCCTTGTCAATTCCTGCGTACTTATATTACTTTTTCTGATCTTTGACTTGATATTCACAATCTGATTAAAATCTTAAATGCAGGTGTAAAATTCAATTCTTATCATGGCAACTTCATGTTGAGGTCCACAGATTTGATAGCGCTTCCTGCTGTGGACTGTGATAAAGCTTTTGCCATGCAATTAGGCCTAGAAGAGACATTACTGACGACTCAGACTGTGTACTTCCAAGTTGCATTGTTGTATCCTTAAATCTTTCAATCTGTGGTTTTAGATGTTTTTTGTCAACTTTCATGGGTGTGTGTGAGCACATTTTGGGAACAGGCTCTTCTTATAATATGAAACTAACTCTAGCAGCCTGCCTGATGCCTCCATTATGGAAGTAGTGTCTTCACATCTTATACTAGAAAACTCTGCATATTAAGGCTTCAGTTTGCATCTTGTGTCTGTGTGTGTGTGCGTGTTTTTTTTTTTTGTTTTTTTTTTTTTTTTGTGTGTGTGTGGGGGGGGGGGGGGGGGGGGGGGGGGGGGGAGGGGGGGGGGTTGGATTGTTAAAGATTATGGTGTTTTTTTCCTTGACAAGTTCTAGATATACTGCATCATGTGGAGAAAGACGCATTAGAGTACACACAGCTGCTGCACCAGTGGTTGCTGATCTGGGAGAGATGTATCGAAGAGCTGATACTGGTGCTATTGTTTCAGTGCTTGGACGGTTAGGTAATTTAAAATGCTTTTTTTTTTCTTTATGTTTCTGTTTGCCTAACAAACATTGAAAATGTCTTTTTTCCTGGGGTATGATTCGCTAAACATGAATTTTCTTCGCAGCAATTGAGAAAACATTATCCAGTAAGCTGGAAGATGCACGATCTTATGTACAAATGAAGATTGTAAAGTCTCTCAAAGAATATCGCAATCTGTATGCAGTACAGCATCGGCTGGCTGGAAGGATGATCTATCCAGAATCATTGAAGTATTTGGCTTTGTATGGTTTAGCTCTTTGTAAGTCAATGCCTCTTCGTGGAGGGCATGCAGATGCGCAACTAGATGAGCGCTGTGCAGTTGGTTCAATAATGATGACTTTGCCTGTTAAAAGTCTGTTAAAATTTTTGTATCCTAGCTTGATTCGCGTGGACGAGTTTCTATTAAAGGTATTTTCAGGCAATTTGCAAACATTAAGAAATTGCATAATGATGTTGATATGGTCAAATATCTAAGTCCTCTGATTTGTGTCTTTTCTTTAGGCACCTTCTCCAGCCGCAGACCTCAAGGATGTTGAAAAACGCGTACCTCTGACAGCAGAAAGCTTGGATCCTCGAGGACTTTATATCTTTGATGATGGTTTACGCCTTGTTATTTGGATTGGTAGAATGTTTCCTCCAGATTTGGCTGCAAGTTTAAATATAGATTTTGCTTCCGATCTTTCACAGGTACTTTCTTTTACTATTGCTTAGTTCTGTTGTATCTGGCAAAGTTTTCTCTCGGATTGTTTTTGATGTTTTAGTCTCATTTGTGCTTGATCTTCGTAGTTGGCTATAGAATTGTGTATGACGTTTTGAGTTAATGAACAACGAACCAAAAAGATTCGAATAGACAATGCATAGTTTTCATAAAATGTTCAATTTCAACTCCTGGTTGGCCTAGATACGTACATGTGTCCTGCATTGCTAGTTGTGTCTAACACTTTTTAACCAACAACAATGTCTGCACACATAATCGTCAATTTTCATGTGCTTTATTATTAGAACTGAGCTCAGGTTGAAATTAGAGAAAATAATTTCAGAAGTGATAATGGTATTCTACATGCTGCCATGCAGATGATTCTGACTGAGGTTTGCAAAGCCGCTATAGAGAAATCCTTGGGAATTTGTGTGAGTGTTGGGTCTAAATTAATGCCATTTATGTTATTTAGTTATACTGATTTCACTCATGAAGACGGCTGGAAAAAAAAATAAAAAATTAGTCAAATTAACCCATTTGATTCACGTGGGTATGATTGACAAGACTTTACCTTTATCAGGTTTAAAAATCAGGGTTTTGAATTGATTATTGGATGTGGATGAGGATGAGGATGCTGCCTCAAATTGTCGGACTTAATTTAAGACAATTCTGAAAAAAATAGATTCTGAGTTTTTGTGTGATCCATAAATTATTTTGCATCAAATGTGGTATTGCTTCTTGTGGTTAACACATGCCTCGTCATATTCTATATCCCCAATCGTTTTGGCTTAATTGCTTTTTGTGGTGTATACTGGTTGCTCCGTTGTAATTTGTAGGCACTTGGCTCTGTGGTGAATCATGTTTCTGTCAATGGCTCTTTGACTTTGTCGCTTGAATTGAAAATTCTATGCTGCTGTGTTGCTAGTTGTAATCTGCTAATAATAATTCAGAACTAAGTAAACACTGATGGCCTTTCATATTTGCACTGATCATCAGGTTAACCTTAATGAGAGTGACAATGCAATGTCAAAGAGGCTAATGGGGCTACTTAAGAAGCTGAGAGAGAATGATCCTGCTTACTATCAGCTTTGTCATCTTGTAAGGCAAGGTGAACAGCCCAAAGAAGGGTTTTACCTTCTGTCAAATCTTATTGAGGATCAGACGGCTGGGACAAGTGGCTATGTAGACTGGATTGCACAAATCCACCGGCAGGTCCAACAAAATTAACAAGCAGATATATAAGGTTTGTGTGGCTAAGTTAGGTTAACTTGTATCTTTTATTTTATACATTGATGTGGTATTTTCTTGGTGGGTTTAACATTTATATGCTCAGCTGATGTCTACCTGGTACAAATTACATCCTTCACTCAAAGCATGATACACACCATGCTCCCAAAAGAACATACAATTTAAAACAGAAGAATGTACATCATCTTCAATAGCACATTAATTCATAATAAAAGAAATTAAAAGAGCATGGAAGTTTGGTATTATTAAAGAAAATTAACCGGGAGCATAAGCTGTGTATTATCTACAAACTTATGCCTGTTTGTTTTTTAAACCCCCTTTCCATGTACTTAGCCGCTAGGGAAATGTGGTTTCAGAATAGCTTTAGCAGCATTTAATGCTGTAAACTTCAGCTCTGTTGTTAGTTACTATATCTATGTTTTGGAGATTGAAACTTCAATCTATATCATGCTGGATAGACGTATGAAGAGAAAAGTGGTGCCTCTGCATGTCTTTCTGGATAGTTCCGTTAATGACTTCATTATTCTGCATATTATCTTAGAAATCCAGATATTTAGATCAATTTTCAATCCTTTGCAAATCTTACAAATGATGTACCAAATATTTGTTAGGATTTGCATCTCTGTTGAAGCCAACAGCTGAAAGAATAAGGTTGTATACCATAGGAGTTGGGGAGCATTCTCTGTAGCAACTTAAAGGAACACCATTAATTTTATACAAGCAATTCCTGCATAATTGTTCTTCTTCATCATCATTTTTGTTGTTGTTATAGATCCATTTGGTGCAGCTGAAGAACTATATTTGATCTCTGATTGGTAGAATCTTAGTAAATTATAGTGCACTATAGCAGCAGATGCTTACGGTCATTTGGTTTGGGTTTGTGTCAATTCTTGGATTGGGTTTGGGTCAATTCTTGGATTGGGTTTGGGTCATTCTGGGTCAGCTTTGGGTTATACGTAGTATTTCGGGTATGGTTCGGGTCAGCTCATTTTCAGGTAAGGTCCAGTTTTAGTTGGGTCAGTTAGGTATTATAGGTAGTCTTGTGCATAATTTGGTTCATTCATAAATTTGAAGAATACAAAGTTGTGTATCATCAATAGTGGCTAATAATTTTGTTACTACTAACGTAATAAGTTAATTCTACCTGGAGATAACATTCACTATGTATTCTCCTGTATGTATTACATATGCCGTGGAATGTGATATTGTGATATCCCAAGGTTGATCCAATTTTGATTTGATTGGGTTTTGTCAGTTATGTTTCACGGTGCAACCGTGCAAGGCATGATGGAATTTATCTTCACTTACTTTCACCTCTTCCAACCCCATCTCCCTTGTTCCAAAAGCACAAGGGAAAGCAGGCAAATTTCTGTTAGGTTTGGTTTCTGAAACTAATTTCACTTTTTGTAGGATGTATCATATGACAAGAAGATAGCTTCAACCCTCAAGAGATCAATTTTGACTGTAGCAAGCTGCACATCATGGTTAATATGTGGGCTCTACGACATGGTCTTGTCTACTTCTCAAGGGCGCGCTGCTACATGCTCCTCTCAAAAAAGTTGCTATTGAAAGAGATGTTATGTTGAAGGTACAAGTGACAGCTGAGATTTTGTGAACAAATTCTTTTTTGATTTTTTTTCCTTGTTAATTTATTAGGAAAGGTAAACGTTAGTGAGATTATAAGTTTCTTTTTTTTGCAGATTTTAGCAAATTTTTCTTTAATATTTTTTTAGGAAGCATATATAATCCCTATTTTGTGTGATCATATCTTATTACCTTGTTAGCTTCCTCAACATTTGCCTCTTGTTTTAGAGGGTGTTGTGAGTTGTGACATACCATAAATGTACAACACTTTTCTCCTTTCTTCAAGGCTTTTAACTGGAATTCTTTCGTTATAATATAAATCTCGTTTAGTACAATTTCAGTTTTAACTAGAGATTTGTCAACAGAATTGATAGTAACCGATCATCAAATGCCCCATGAATTTGGTGGCATGACATAGAACCACCAAGCCGTGCTGTGGGCAGTGCCTCGCCAATCGGCCTGTAGAGTCACAGGTTTAAATTAATGCGTTGATAAGACCATGACATAAAAGCTTGTTTCAAAAAAAAAAAAAGACCATGACATAAAAGCTAGCTCAAAGCTCTTAGAATAAGTGGACCTCCTTTGCATTTGCAATTATTGAAGCATATGTACACCAGAACTTGACAAACGCTCAAAACAACAACATTAAGGGTCTCGTTCATGTCTTCTTTTTCGCATATTTAAGCTTCGGAACTTGTCGTTTTATAAGCTGGCATTCCATTCATACATTGTTACTCCGTGACTCTCTTATCACATACGGAGTAATATGTCAATCTCATCGGAGAGTGAGGGATAGCTCAAGTGTTTATAGCTTCCCTTCTAATTTTAGATAATTCTGGGATCGATTCGCATTACTCACCCTTGTGGCTCTCTAAACACACACACAAAATGTCATCTCATCAAATTTTATCCTATAAAAAAAAAGCTACTAATATCAACTTAGTAACCCCTAACCAAATGAGTAACCCTTATAACATAACAAAGTAACCCTCATAATGGTTGGTCACACCGTGTGGCCAATCACATATGAAAATTTGTGTACTAATATGGGTAAAAGATATAGCATGGTATAAATACTACTACATCATTTCCATATTGGAAAACGCTTTTGTTTTTGACTAGGAATAGTTGAGATGCATTGCCTCACCTAAGTATGAACATTCTCACAAAGTGGTTAAGATTTTTTATGAAGTACCTTTCTCATCTTTGTTTTAGTACGAATATTGTTTTATCATGTTATGTGTTTAAAGTGAGAGTGAAGGATAGCTGGTGGTTAGAGCTTTCCTTATGATTTCAAGAGATCTATGATCGATTAAAAATTGTGTTTAAAGTGATAATGTGAGACACTAATTAAATTTTTTTTGAGAAAGAGTACGTGGGGGCGTTCTCATGAAATACTCAGTAGAACCCTTTTTTGCTTGCTTAACTATGCTACTAAGGTATTATGTATAAACCCCTAACAAGAAGTAAACTGATTTGATGCAACAAGTTTGCGTGTCATTCTGCATGATGATATAAAGCAAGATCGTATAATACGTTGTACATTTTGATTGCTAAACATATAATTTGTCTATCTAAATGTTTTCGTCTTTGATTCTCATTATTGCTCATTACATACCTTTTACTCTACAAGGTGATAATATAGACCGATAAACTATCATAAACGCCTACATAACATTAAAAATATGTCATATATAAAATACTTTGTATAAATTTATTATTAGAATTTTCAATTGTTATCGCGTTAAGCCATAATTTATAAACTTTTAATAGTGAACGAGCCATAAATATAATTGTATATATCTAGTCGAGTGGCTCGAGCCATCCAGGGATTTTTCATTCATCAAGAATTCAAGACTAGTCATCTTAAAATATCATTAGTAACAATCAAACATCGTATTATTGGACTTGTGCACAAAGTGGGTTCCATACTTTTATATGCATCAATCATCTAGTAGGTTTGAGAATAGAGACCAACTTGAGCAATTGTGTGTGGAATAGATAGTTTCTATTCACTCGTGATCTTTATCAATTCGTAGTATTTTTCTTTAGATATTTTAATAGATATTTTGTGTTCATTCATTGAATTTTAGCAACCATGTAATTCTTAAGTCTTAACATCACAAAATCTTTGTTACTCTGGCCCTCCATTTTATTCCGCAAATTATTGTGGATGTCCAATATTAATTATTCTTAATTTTTAATATATACGGAGTAATACAAATGGTTCTACAATTATATCAAGATATGTGTTTTATATATATACACACACCGACACACGTATGGGACAAGAGTTGAGGTTAATATTTTCATTGACATTTACATTATTTGGGGTAGATATAACGGAAAATTTAGGTATATTTGCTTATATAATTTGAAGGTAAAGGACTATATTTAAAATAATACACAACTTTTTATATACACTTGGTGCACAAAAATAGCTTTGAGTGCACCATGCACCCTATTGAGCTTAAAAAGTTTTAAAAATATAATTGTACATTTTGTTTATGTAGTAGACTTCATTCCTTTTTTTTTTTTTTTTTTTTTTTTTTTTGTTAAAACCATGTGAAAATCATGAAAAACTTTCAACAATGAATGAAATTTATTCCACACTTCCACCTTTGTATGTATAGTATAACATCTTTCCAAAATAAAAAGCTAAAAACTTATCAATTATGGATAAAGAGATTGTCGTTTGTGGTTGGAGTCCTTGGAGAAATATTTAATAATAGAACATTAGAACATGTGACTATATCACTTACTAAGTTACTACAATACTTATTACAATAAGCATTATGCAACTTTATGGACGCAAAATTAGGTAAATATGGGAATAATAATGAGTTTGTTATTTTTTTGATTTAATTTTCATCATCTTGTGAACAAATAGTACATGTATACCGTAAATTGATTTTAAATGTACCATATACCCAATTCATATATTAACTAAGGGTTTGTTCACATGTATTGAGCTGAACTAAATTGAATAGAGCTGAAATGAATATTTTATGAGAGAAGAAAATTGGGATTGGAACTGAATTGAAATGAACAGATTGGAGCTTAACTGAAATGAACTGAAATTAAGGTGAAGTGAACAGACCCTAAATCACTTCATCAATCGTGATTTCGTGAAAATGTGTATTATAGTGTATTTGTATCCTTAACTATGCATTGTAGTAAATGTACATTCTCACGACTGACTCAATAATTATTACCCCAAAAGCATGTGGTGGCTAGGGTAGAGCTGTTGTGGTGCATATTCACATGAAGTACTTTTTAGGAGTCCTGTACATCATTTAATGATCTTGCATAAAATGATCAATCAAATGAACCTAAAAGGGTTTTGAATTCCTTTTACCCTAACATGTACAAGAAGATCCAAAAACAGAAAAAACTAACTCTCCATCTATAAGCCATAAATGACACCTGAAACCAAAAAGTATAAGGAGAAAGGCTAATATAACTACTTTTAATTTTTTGTTTTTAATGAAAGCTAGCTAGCACTGAACCACTGAATTATTGAGGCTACTAGATATAACCCGACATATTTTATCAATAAATTCATTATCATAAAAAAAATAAAAACAAACGTATCTATGAATTTTATAGCCTCTTGTTTGTTTGCAAATTGAATTGTCTTCTCAATTTCATTAAATTAATTAGTATTTTAATTTGCTAGCTTAAGATGTATAATTTAATTAAGTCACTTATAAAACAAATACCCGTATAAAAGTAAATATGTTTATGTAATCGGTACAAAATACAATGTTGAATTCGTTAGATATATTCCCTCTGTCTTTTGAAGATAGGTTGAGTTTTTGATGTATAGAATATTAACATGGAAAAATCATTACAAATGGACTTACGAAAAATTTGTTATTTAACTTTTGACTATATAGGTTTTAATGTTATGACTAGTAAATAAGAAATAATTAATATAAGTTCTAAAAGAAATTTGTCAAATTGTTTTGAACATTCGAACTGAAATGAATCTAAGCAAATCATAAAATATTGAACATCAAATTAAATCAATTATCAGGTCTTTTCATCTTGTGATGTTTAACAGTCATGTGTTTGGTTGTAACTTGAAGTTTGAAAATCATAAGAATTCTTATGAAACACCGACTCATTTTCAAAGCATAACTATGCTATACAACATTAATAAATTAAATTCAGGTCTTATATATCTAATTCACTAGGCAGATTTACTTACAAATTAAATCAAACATCTAACCATATCAATAAGGTAGTTAAAATTAATTAGTCTCGTCTCACCTTGAATATTTGAATGAAAAATTAACCCAAATATATATATAGTTATATACGCATACCACATTGTAAAATTTGAAATAGAAGTCAATCAATACAACTCCTCTTGAAATTTTGTGAGAACTTATTTGTAAACTTGCTTTCAACCCAATAAACCAAATAATCACTACAGTAATACTCAATTCTTATCCAATTAAACCACATAATTAAAATGTACTCATGCAATTAATTAAGGGAAATTCCCATTGATACACTTCAGGTTTTGACTTTTCCCAACGGTACCACTTTTTTTTTTTTTGACTTCCTAATGATACACCCAAGTTTATGACTTACTAACTCACGTGATTAAGTTTGTTAATCAGACGTTAATAAGTTAGTAAATCTAGGTTAAAATATAATTTTGTAAAAAAAAAAAAGACTAATTTACCCCTTTTAAACCCTTCCCTCCAACGATAAAAAACCCTTCCCCTTCCATTTATGTCGATTTGACATAAACCAAACTCACTTTCAAATTTCATCTCTCTCTCCTCTGCTCTCTGTTGAATTCACGAAGGGTTTGCAAGGGAAAATTTGCTAAATTCGTTGGTCTACAAAGCCATTAGAGGGAAATCTTGCATAATTCAGGTACTTTAGCACTACTACTGTTCATTTATGCATGATTTGGTGCATTTGTTTGATGTTCTGTTTTAATATGCGATTTTAGGTTTAATTCATGATTTTAATGATGTATATTTGTGTGATTTTAGGGTTCTTTCATGTATATTAGGTGGGGGCTTATGTTTGTTCAATTATTGGTTTAGAATATGGAATTATATTGAATGAAATGCCATGATCGTGTTTGATTGATTGTTGGATAATTGAATTGGAATTGATTTGCATGTTGTAAGTGTGTGCATTGTTTACCTTATTTTGCAGAATGGGTGATGTTGTGATAAGGTTTCATTACTGGGATAAACATGTTGATATTGATGTTGACTTAGATAGATGTAATTTGATGGACTTGATTATGGATTTTGAGGACACTACTGCATTAGACACTGAGTATCCCTTAATCAACCCTACCTTTGGTTATGGTCACAATGAAAAGAATCACCCTTTACTAAATGATGCTGATTTTTTAAGATGATTCATACCCTAGGTGACTGTGAGATGTATCATATTTGGGTTGGGTTTGCCAAGAAACCAAGTGCCTTGAATAGAATGATCAACAGGTTAAGGAACAAATCCAAATCTGCACAACCAATTGATGCACCTTCCCAAACATTGTGAAAGACTCATCAAGGGAGCATTGGACCATTATTTCTGATAGGCAAAAGGCAAGTACTTTCCTCTTTGTGTTTCAATTTTTTGATTGTTTTGCTATGATATGAGTCTATCCCTAAGTAAGCTTATAGTGTTTGCATTAACCCAATTCCTAACACACAGCAATGGCCTGCAGATGAGTCAGGTACAATTATCATGCCTCCTAAGATGAAGAGGGGAATTGAAAGACCAAGTAGGAATAGAAAGAGGGAGGAAGGTGAAGAGCAACCTGGAAAAAGGTCCAAAACAGTCAAATGTAGCAAATGTGGTTGCTTTGGCCATAATAAGACAACTTGTAAGGGAGGGTTAATTGGGAAAGAACTGAAGTCAAATGAGCCTGTTGTCATAAAAAATCCTAGGGTCAGAGACCAAAGTAATGCAGCAAAGGCAGCAAAGAAATCTGAAGAAGTTGGATCTCAGTCTGCAGCTTCAGCTAAACAAGAAAAGGGACAGAAGGGCAGACCCTCAGCTGAGGAAGCAATAGTACTGACAGCTTCACAGTTGCCTAGCCAACCAGTGCCTATGTCTCAATGAAAATCAAATTCTCCAAGCTCCTAAGTCTTTTGTTCTGCAGTATAGTGGCATATGCATTTTGATAATTTTATAGGAAGTCAAAACTTGTAGTTAACTCTGTTTTTTTGTCATTTGGGATGATTTTTGCTGTTGTTATTTGGTAATTTAGTAGACAACTTTACTATTGAAAGTTGGATTTTTGCAATGTTCCCAAATAACCTATATATATTAATGAATGTTGGAAACTGATGTCATTTTGTGTATTTCAATTTGTCCCACATTTTAGTTACTTTGTCTATTTTAGTTGATTTCAATATTAAACATACACAGTCAATGATAAGTTTGCAGCAATGTCAGAAGAGAAGATAAGTTTGCAGCAAGGGAGCTTTAATGGAGATGAGATAAGTTTGTAACAATGGAAGAGAACTTTAATGGAGAATAGAAGAGGGGAAATTGGCTTTTTTTAGGGAGGGAATAGGGTTTGAGAAGTTGGAGGGAAATAATAGACAATTTTAGGGGAAAAATTTGGAGGGAATGGATTAAAAAAGGGGTATATTAGTCATTTCATCTTTTACTAAGCCTAAGATGTTAATTTATCAAGTTATTAACGTCTGATTAACAGACTTAGGATGTATCAGCATGAAGTCAAAAAAAAATGTGGTACCATTGAGAAAAGTCAAAACCTGGAGTGTATCAATGGGAATATCCCATTAATTAATAAGAAGATTTCACTAGTAGGCTAAGCTAGTAGCCAATTTAGTTCAAAAGGAGTGATTCAAATTGAGACAACTAAGGTTTTTTTTTTTTTTTTTTTTTTTTTTTTTTTTTTTTTTTTTTTTTTTTTTGAGGGAAACTAAGGTGATAACCTAGTAGCAAAGACCCCATTTATATCTTTTCACTCCCTCTTGTTATTTTTGTTAAAAATTATATTCCACTTTTTTTGTAAGTATTATTAATAATATATTTTTATAATATACAATTTATTTAGGTTTTCCAAGTGTTTCTTAAGGACCAGTGTAGCACATGGGCGCTAATTAATTTTTTACACAAACTTACAAACAAATCCTACTCATACATTTTTAACCCTTTTCATGACTCCACCCTTTATAAACACACCAACACAACCCCTATTTCCCTCACTCAACAACAAACCTTCTTTCAAACCCTTACCTTAAACTACATCCCCTAACCAATAATTCTCATCATGGCTACCACCACCAAGCTCATCGCCGCCATCCTCATCCTCTCCCTCGTAACCCTATCACCCATGTGCAACGCCTGTTGTGGTAGTTGCGCTACTCCCCCACCAGTTACCCCTAGCACGGGCAAATGCCCTATTGACACACTCAAACTCGGTGTATGTGCGGATGTTCTAGGGCTAGTCCATGCCGTGATTGGTAGCCCACCCTCTGGTACTCCATGTTGTGCCCTAATCAAAGGTCTTGCCAACCTCGAAGCCGCTCTTTGCCTTTGTACTGCCATTAAGGCTAACATCCTTGGTATCAACTTGAATGTGCCTGTTACCCTAAGTGTTCTCCTTAGCGCTTGCCAGAAAGATCTTCCAGAAGGATTTAAGTGCTAATTATTATCAATGTTGTTCATTTTATTTATGCATGGAAAATTACAACAACAACAACAAAAAAAAAAAAATTACTAAATTATATGATAGCTCATGATTTTTAGCTCTCATATAATATTCATTTATGTATTCATAATTCATGCATACCTAGCTTATAGTAATATTATGTATAAATGTTCATAATATTGTGAACATTGATATATAACTCTATATTGCTAGGTTTTTTTTTTTTCTTTTGTATTTAACTTGTTATTGCATGATTTGCTTGTATTATTAATTTGAATGTACTATTTACTAGATTTTTAATATAATCATGTTATTGTAATTTTTTTTTATTTAATTTTGTTAATAGTTGTTTTTGTTTTTATTGTGATTTAATTTTGTGTTTAGAGTCCCCTTGCTACATGCACCAGTGATTCAGTGCATGTGAATTGTTTCCAGTAAGATTTTCTTTGTTCATTGACCCACATATTTTCTATCGTGTGTGGTACGGTGTACGTGTATGTATCTTTTTTTTTTAATATATTATTATTATTATTATTTTTTTTTTTTTTTTTTTTTTTTTTACGGAATGTATCTAATTTCTGATGTATGTACAATATTAAGCTTTATGTATTTTGTTTGAGCCAATTTATTTGTGTTTGGTACGTTACAAAAATGACAAATCAAATAAAATAATGACAATGGAAATTTGGCAATGTGGTTCTAACAACGTTTGGTGCATATATACTTTGTATAATATATGTGGAGTATGTACGATACTTGGTATGAGTTTTCTATTCAAATAGCGACGTTTTATATTAAATCTATTTTATGTGTATTTATAATACACACTTTTTCTTTTAAAAACATATGTATGTTGTTTTATCAATTTTTGCTTAATAGCCTAAAAAGGAAATATCCTTAAAGTCCTTAACTTAAAAATTAAATTATAATGAAGTATATTAGGACTGCGGCATTAATATACTATGTATAGTAGTATATGGTAGAAAATTAAAGAAGTTTCGATTTTAGGGAAATTTATTTATTTTATCTATATTCGATATATTAAAGAGAATTTAAATAAAATCAACTCAAATATGATGACCTATATATAAGGCTATAGAAAGAGCCTATTATGTGTTCAGCAGCACCATGATTGGTTCGACACTAGATTGAAGAATATAATCTAATCCTTCAAGCAGTTTGAGGGATCATGATATGTTATTGATAGAGTATAAAACATATTCATGGGTCTCAACTAGAGCTGTCAAAAGTTGACCCGATCCGAAATACGACCCTAACCCGTTTGAACCCGAAAAAAATGGTGACCCGAACCCGACCTAACCCGACCTGAAACCAACCCCAGACCCGAGTTGACCCGAGTATTTGAGACCCGAACCCGACCATGAGCCGACCTAGAGAGGACCCGACTCGAATGTGACCCGTAAATTATTGACCTAAACCGAACCCGACTCGAACCCGAGAATGACCCAAACCCGATTTAACCCGTCAAAACCCGAATTCAACCTGACCTGTTACTAACCTGACCCGAGGTCAACCCGACCCGTTCCTAACCCGACTCGAATTTAAACCCGACCAGTTACAAACCCGACCCAAAATCACCCCGATTTGTTATTGACCCGACCCAAATTCAACTTGATTTGTTATTGACCCGACCTGAATTTAAACTCGACCTATTACTTACCCGAATTTAAACGTATTTGGGGCTATATGAGGTGAGTGAGGTGAATCGGTGATAGTGATTTTGTCTAATTAAATCAGCCAAATGTTTTTTTTTTTTTCCTAAATTTATCTTCAAAATAAACTTCCATATAACTAGTTATAATCCTTTTATGGATCCTTTTTTTCAAATTTTAGTATTCACTTGTTTTTTTTAATATTTTTTAAATGTTTTAAATTATGCAATTTGATTTGGAGCTTTAAAAAATAAAAAATAAAAAAATTTATTGACTTGAACTGAACCCGACTCGAACCCGAGAATGACCCGACTTGATTATAACCCGCAAATTATTGACTTGAACTAAACCCGACTCGAACCCGATAATGACCCGACCTGATTATAACCCGTAAATGATTGACTTGAACCAAACCCAACTCGAACCCGAACAGGACCCTAACTCGTTTAAATCCGTAAAAACCCGAATGTAACCCGACCCGAATGTAACCCGACCTATTATTGGCCCGACCTAAACCCGACCCAAACCCGATAAGATGTATGACCCGACGTGACCCGACTCAAGCATGACCCAACCCGAACCCAACCTGCATAGGTCCCGACATTAACTCGTACTGACCCGACCCGAGATGACCCGACCCAAACTAACCCGACTCAAACCCGACCCATTTACCCGAATTGACAGCTCTAGCCTCAACCATCAGCTTAACCTTTTGATTGAGTTGGTTCTCTAACATGGTATCGGAGCCAAAGTGACATAGAGGTCACGGGAATAAAAATATTCCTGTGCGTCAACCATTAGCCTAAGGCTAGCACCAAAATTAATAATGCCGAAAATGACACTATTTACTTTGTATTTAGATTAAGACTGATGCAATTATGGAATGTCAAGGATTGACAATACATATTCAGCCTAACATACTGTTGCCAACATTATACAGCTATCTGCAATCTCATCAACTGATATTTTACATATCTTTTACTAGAGAAAATGGTCTATTTCGTTCTTTCCATGCAACTAGCGGAGACATATTTAAAAAATGTCCATTACTTCGTATAGTATGAAAGCTATTTTTAAATATAAAGAAAAAAAATATATACTCCGGATTCTGTAGTAAGTGGTGGCCAACTTAACCTAGCCATCATGTACTCTCATTTAATAGTGCTTATATTTCATTATTATCATGTTATAGACTGGCACGTGTAATTTATGCGTAAATGATGCTCGTGAACCTCAATCACAAGCTCAACAATTAACTATATATTGTGTTGTGTGTATCCTTAAGCGCGACTGTGCGAGCACCATGCACGGTGCTTCATGGTGCTCGAGGGTTCAGTATAGAATTGCCCCACCAGCCACAAGGTACTACAAGATTAGACATAAAGAAAATAGTAACAAAAAAATTGCGCCTTTATATTTTTATTATTATCACAGATTCACAGACATGTGATCCTCTCTCATTCTTTCATGTCTCTCTCACTTTTCATCTTGTTCTTGTGACCTTGTCCGTTGCTACTTGTGTTTGTCTCATTCTCTCTAACACAAGTTTGAATATATCATTGTTAGGCAGAGATTTTAATTTGTTCGTTAGCCTCATAACAACCATATATATGTGATATTTATACCTTTATCTCATTGAAATTACTACGTTGTATTTTCATAGAATAAAACACTGCCCTTATAAGTTACTGGAGCTCGTAATTGAAAAAAAAAATTCAAAATCTTTCTATTTCTCCTCACGATCTTTAACGTAATTACAATACACCTGGGTGTGTATAAAAAATTTCACTGTCTGTTATTTCACCCTGTGTTTCTCCTCTTGGTCCGACCTACAAATAATGTGTGTTATCATATCATTGTTATTATTATGTCATATACTCCCTCATCTCTCGTTATTATAATGTTACTTTTTGTACTGTTAATTGTTTTCCATACTTTCTTTAACGCTACACTTTACTTAACACTCTATATATTTTTACCCCCTTTAAACGTCATGACATTTTACTATTTTTAGAACGGCGGAAAAAAATTAACATTTTCATGTAAAACCTTTAATTTGGGCCTCAATAATACAGTTCAATGGGGTTAAATTGTGAAAGGTGCTACAAAACAAGGACATTCATTTTGGACCTAAGTTGCATGCAATGTAGTCTTGTAACATTGCGAAACATGTTTGTGCATGAGATGATCTATCTAAGGCTGTCTTATGAGCATACCATTCATTAGAATATATGTCTGTTATTGGACATCATAGGATAACGTGTAGCGACACGTGTCATCTATTGGGTGGGGGATACTAGATAAATCTAATTCAATTCGTATTAGAAAGGGAAAGAATGATGTATGGATGAATGCCAAGCGTATCTAACGATCATACTAAAGACATTATTCCTAAGATGAATCCTATCTACGTTCTAGGCTAACCTGGCCATGCAAATGCCCAATTACAAAGGGTATATATCTATTGTATTTTAGATAGGATTAATTAGTTGCTACGTACTTAGGTAAAATCGTTTCATATTAGAAAATTAAATAAATAAATTATATAAAGATAAAGGTTAAAGAGTCAAATTTATTTAATTAGTCTAAATTTAATTTATGTCGGAACGAGATAATAAAATTATATTCATATACATATGTACAAGAGTATTAATACGGATAATTTGATATTGATCGCTCGTGGATTAATTGTGTCTATTCGGAATAAAAGATGTAATTATCAATGTATGATAGATATTAGTGTTAAAAGTTAGATATTATGTTAAAAGTTATTGTGTGTGTATATATGTATTGTTGCTATAATAATTTCTATATTAATACATGTATAGGAATATCACATTATTAGTGACGATGATGGCTTGGTTTTTGTTGTTAAATAAGTCCAATATATGCTAATTTACAATTGGCGCGGTTGATATCATGAAGACAATCAAGTAAATTTCCAAGAATTCTACTTGTTTTTTGTTTGCTTATTGTGTTTCTTTCAAGCTCAAATATTGTTTAATGCAACAATTTACATCTAAAAGCTGTATTTCCTTTAGGTTGATATGTATATGTCACCTCCCAATTATCATTGAGTTCAAAAGCGTCTAATTCGACCTCCATTCTTTGGATCTACCCATTTTGTTATCAGTACGCCGTGACAGCTTGCTTGAAAGAGATAGGATTCTGAGATGACTTTGTCAAAGTACGTGTAGAAAGAAAACTATGAACCACTGCCGCATGCGTTGGCCGTATTGGCAATGTGTGCAGCACTGCAACGTTTGATTGATAACTTGGTCCTGAGGTCACAAAGCCCTCGAACCTACTACGGTTTGGTCGAGGTCGAGGTCGAGATGCATGATGGCCATGATCCATCTCCTTAGAGGCATTTCATTTAAGACCAGGGGGTTAATTTGGTTTGGAAATTAATAGTGCCGGACTTCACATAGTTTCTTTATCGACTTATCTATACACTTCAATAAACTGAATTAATTATTATATTTATAACTTGAACATCAAACATATCTAAATAATTAAGGACCCGTTACATCGCCATGATTAATAACTAGTAAAAAAAAAAGGCAACTTAGGGCCTGTTATCTTATGTTGAAATTCAGTTCAGCTCAATTCAGTTCAGTTCAGTTCAGTTCAGTTCAATTCAGTTCAGCTCAGTTCACTTCAGTTCAGTTCAGTTCAGCTAAGCTCAGCTCCTAATTTCCTTCTCTTTTAAAATATTCATTTCAGTTCAGCTCAGTTCAGTTCAGCTCAATTCAGTTCAGTTCAACTGAGTTCAGTCAATGAGAACAGGCCCTTAGTTTTCGTTTTCTTGCAAGAGTGCCAACTTGTGCCCTTAAATACGGTTCGTTTTCTTGCAAGAGTGCCAACTTAGGGCTTGTTTGACATTGTTTTTTGTTTTTTTTTTAAACAAAAAACCAAAAACAGGAAACAAGAAAAAGCAATCATAATTTTATTTGACTAGTTTTTGTTTCATTATATGACTTATATCATATGACTATATGAGTTTGAAAACCAAAAAACTAAAAAACAGAAAATTACAGCAATGCCAAACGAACCCTTAATTTTCATTGCAAGAGTAAAATAGTAAATACGGTTGACAAATCAAGATATACTTATATGGACTGGATTACGAAGCTATAAATGGAAACCATGCTATGTGTCTCTCAATTATATACTTGTATGTTGATAGGCCTACAAGACAATACACATAACCACCATATAAAATAAGCCTAACAAAAAGCCCACATTAAGTAGCCCAATGTAGTATTAGAGTTATTGGACTTCCCTTCCTAACAAGTATCCATCACAATATCTCGTTATGATTTTAACATTTATGAGTCATGATTAGTTGCAAACACAACACACTCCTAATCCGATTAAGTAGTTCTAGTTATTTAAAAATCTATAATGCTTTTAATAACTTTGACTTTAAAAGCAAATTAAACAACCTATATCAAATATCCTTCAAATTATAATCAAAAATAAAAATCGACAATAATAATGTAGCACAACTTGGTAGTTTTCATTGGTAATATACCAACTAACATTAGCCTCTAAACTATTTTATATCAGCTGAGTTGTCCAGTTTATTAAACCATCGTACAAATTCTGATATGTGTACATGCTGAGACACACTTTACTTCTCTCTAGCACTTTTCACATGCAAATTTTGTGTATTCGCTTTTAAATTGAGAAAAAAAAAAAAACTATACATTAACATCTGAAGAGTAATAGTTTTACTATACTAACTACCATTCACATTATATCTTGAACGCTCGTGTTATAAACCACCTATGACCTATTCGGCTATTCCTCAACTAGAGCCGGACTTCATGACCAAGTATGAGTCCTAGTCTAAATGAAAATCTCACTATGACCTAAAACAAAGCCAAACGTGAGAAATAAGTTTGAAAGAACAAAGGTTAGGTGCAAATTGCAAAATTGTCCCTTTTCCTTTTTGGTGCGTTGTTTACTTGTTTGTATAATCTCATTGCATTTTACACTCTCAAATCCACGCAAACTCTAAATTCTCTCTCCTCTTTCTTCATCATCTTTCTATTTTTTATTAATTGAATTGTTAATCGAATCCTCAAACCTCAGATATATAATAATTGTAGACTGTATCATATACTAAGATTGATTTTTGAAGAAACCCAATTCAATTTTCAAATCATATGCTGCAATTGGAGTGATCCGATCAAATTACATAAACCCTAACAAGGGTTTGAAATTTTGATACCCAATTCATTGATTTTGTTGCAGAAATTGAATTTGGGGGTAAAATTAAGTGATCGAGATGAACAGGGGGAGGAGTCCACCCAAGCATCGCCATGATGGAACCTCCCCTTTACCTATGGGGATGGATTGGAGTCCCCCTCCTAAGAAATGGGTACTCTTTTTTCTCTCTCCTCTTTTCTTGGTTTTTGTTATTTTGCATGTTTAAGTTCAGAAATTGTTGTTTATGTTGTTAATTTTGAGTTAATTTGAGTGATTTTATGTTATTTTAGTTGGTTGTTGACTAATGTGGTAAGTGAGCTTATTGAATTGCGCAATCTTGTGGCATTATTACAGCTTTGATTGAATTGGATCTATGAGGTTTCGATATGGAAGCTTGTGTGATTGACTGCATTGATGGGGCTGAGTTTTCGATGTTCAATTTATGATGATCCTTGTTGCCAATGATATGGAAGTTTGTGTGATCGACTGAATGTGAGTAGGATTGATTGCAGTAGTTGAGAACAGCGTGAGTGAGAATATTGGAGGAATGGCACATTGTTTGTCATTATCAATGAATATCTTTGTTTTGAGATTAGTGTGATTAACTTATGACCACTTTTTGAAGGGATCGGGGAGTTGGGAGGGTGTAGGATATGTATGGTGGATTATGGTTGATTTAGTTTGAGTATGGTGGTGGACCTGGTGAGTGATTAAAAGATTTTGCACCGAAAAGCTGGAGAGAGGATTAAAGTTATCATGCGAGGATAAATTTGAATCAACTCGCACTCATTGATGAACATTTAAGATGATGCAAAAATGTTTGTCTTATGCAATTGCATATGAATTTGAACATGACCTATGAAATGCAGTAAAAGATCAATGAAGATAGTAACTTTTAGCTACTTCACAGTTCATAACGTGTTCAGTTATTTTTTTCACTTCGATCCCTAAACTTATTTGTTCTGAACGTGATTAAGTTGTAAATTGCACTTACTAGCATTTACAGAAAATTTCAGAACTGACAATACCTGAAAATTATTTATTCAAGGTAAGAGAATAAGTCCTCCTTGGTGTCATTCTCACTGTGTAGGAGGATTTGTGGGTAGATTGTAGTGTTTCATGTGAACCTCCTTTACATAGGCATCTCTGTATCTCATATTGTAAAGGCATATATTCTCATGACAAGTTTTTCCCATCTTTCTAAAATTCATGGGTTGTTTGTATAAAAAAATTCGATAATTATTTGGAGTTTATTTTGGCACTTTGAGTTACTGCTGAACTCTATCCTAGTTTCTCTCTCTAGCTTTATTTGTATAGTTGTGAGCTCAGTTGCACAATTCAGGATCGTCCATTGTTCTGGTGACTGGGAGGTTCTTAGGTTCTTCAATAGTTAAATTTACCCTTTTCTATTGTTGCCAGTTGCAACCTTTAAACGTAAAATATGGAGCTTGATTTGGCTGACTGTATACCTAGTCAGTTTGACATTCAGGATTCGTTATTGCTGTTTTAGAGTATATATTGCTAACTAGAAACATTTTACTGATGTAGGGTGGTCGTGATACTGTATGGCCTCATGATCCTCGCTCTGGATGGAGCTACTGTGTTACAATTCCTTCTTGGGTTGCGCTTCCAAAATCAAGATCAAGTTCTTCAGATCCTGTAGTGGTACAGAAATTGAATGTCTCTCCAATGTTTATCTATGCCAAGGGTTAGATGTTGTTTTTCATTCTGCCAATAAGTTTTGTAATCATGTGTTTGTAGTTGGGCAACTCTGCCCTAAATACAGTCAGTTCAGTTCCAAATTATGTAACTTGATTTAGTGTAACTAATTTCTCACATTAGTTGTCAATTTAAGCCCATGTTGATCATGTCAGCTTGAGAACAAAAAGATTATCAGTAATGTTTTAGGAAGCTGTTGGATAAGACATTAGTAAAGTAAAGATGATGTCTCCCAAGTCCCAACATTGTTCTAAAAGGTTTTTTTTTTTTTTTTTTTTTGAGGAATTTTTTGTTTATCTTGTATGATTCATATCTGCCTTCTGTCAGCTTTGACCCAATACTGGTTATGATTATGGTCAGAAAAGAGAAATAAAGGCAAGTCTTCTCATTTGAGGCTGACTTGGTGACTTCCAGGATAAGTTAATTGGTGTTCCCTGATTTGAATGAAGTTTGATTAGTGGCTCTTACCTTCATAAGCAAACACCAAGGTGTTTAATAAAGTATTATAGTTTTTTTTTTTTTTTTTGTCTTCTGCCTGGTATGTGTTTTTGAAACAGCTTGCCCTCATGCCTGTCCGATTAAAGTGTTACCTAGATAGGCCCACAGAAAACAATGGGGGCAACACTAAGTAGTTTTGACACCCATATACCTGTGGTAAGCAAGAGCTGAGTGAGAGGCATTCAGGGTACCAGTGTAGTGGGGTGTGGTAGATTTATATTCAGCAAATTTATCTTCTATATGCATCTTACTTTTGAATCTATCCTAGTTGCCCATGTGCAATGGTGACCCTATCTAACCTTTTTTACTTTCAACAGTTTTACAGGGTTTTGGTGGGTATTCAATCACCAGCAGGAGTTACTTCTACACGGGGAGTATTAAGAAGATTCAATGATTTTCTTAAGTTATTTTCTGATGTAAGCGAAACTTTTAATAGCTTTCCGTCTTCAGTTTGATCAGTTGATGTGATGGGATTGAAGATATTTTAGAGTAGAGTTGAGCACATAATAATTGAGGATTACTGAGATAATATTCTTAGTTTGTTTATCCTGTCTGCTTTTTTATTTATTCAGATTAAAAGGACATTCCCTAAGAAAAGTCTCCCATCTGCTCCCCCTAAAGGTCTTTTGCGAATGAAGAGCAGAGCACTCTTGGAAGAGGTTAGTACAGTAGCCGAGCAATCATCTTTTTTTAAACTCTTGGCTGAAACTTAAAATTGGTGAGCCTAACTATAGCAATACTATTTTAATGACCTGCTTTAGCTATAATACCTTGTTTCATGCATACAACAATACTAAATCCTTAATCCCAAAAGAACGAGGCCAATATAAAAATAAAATTAAATTAGGTTTTCTTATATTATTTTTTATTACATTGATCCATGATTGATTGTTATGTGGGCATCAAATAACTGAAACAAAGTTTTTCCTTTTTGGTTGCAGCGAAGGTGCTCTTTGGAAGAGTGGATATCAAAACTTCTTTCAGACATTGATATATCTAGGTGTATGCCTGTGGCATCCTTTCTCGAACTAGAAGCAGCTGCTAGATCATGTATGTGCCCCCTTTCTCCGTTGCAGCTAAGACATATCTAAACTATGTGTCCTGTTTCTTTTATCTATTTCTATTGATATGCACGTCTTATATTCTCTACTCCCATCTCCTGCACAAATAAATTCAAATAAATTTGGTTTTATGCACTCCCTTCATTTTATTTTGTTCTTCTTGTTTAGAATCTATATAATATTCACAATTTGTAGGAATCTATATAATATTCACTATTTGTAGGAATCTTCAAAACTATTCCCAATATGTAAGAAAGAATAGTAATTCCACTTATCTGTTATTAATAGTCAAAGATGTGCATTGACAACATGAACAATCAACACAGGAAGAACTATAGAAAACGGAGGGAATACATTGGTATTGCAAAGTTTCTTTTAACATATACTCATATCATAATGTGGCGTGTAATGTTTTATCATAAATTGGCGTGTATTATAGCGTTGTTATTGTAAAAAAAGCTGTTATTTGGAATAATATAATTACTTCTAATTTTGATGGGAGGTATAACCATACATCTTGACTGATACTAATGACATTTATCTAGAGCTGTCAATTCGGGTAAACGGGTCGGGTTTGGGTCGGGTAAGAGTGGGTCAGGTCAACTCGGGTCAGGTCAATTCGAATTAATTCCATAACCTATGCGGGTCGGGTTTGGGTTGGGTCATGCTTGAGTCGGGTCATACTTCTTATCGGGATGGGATCGGGTTACATTTGGGTCAGGTGAACAATAAGTCGGATTTAATTCGGGTTTTCACGGGGTAGGATAATTCTTGGATTCGAGTCAGGTTTGGTTCAAGTCAATAATTTGCGGGTTAGAATCAGGTCAGATCATTCTCGGGTTTGAGTCGGATTCGGTTCAAGTCAATAATTTGCGGATTATAGTATGGTCGGGTCATTTTCAAGTCGGGTTCGGTTCAAGTCAATAATTTGCGGGTTATAATCAGCTTGGGTCATTTCCAAGTCGGGTCATTCTCGGATTCAAATCAGGTTATGTTCAAGTCAATAATTTGAAGGTTACAATCAGGTCGGGTCATTTCCAAGTTAGGTCATATTCGGGTTCAATTAACTATAAATAGGTAATTATCATTTTTATCAAGCTAATTAAATTATTTTCTTTGACTATAATATATATGACAATATAATAGAGAACTGTAGTCTATAATTTAGGAAGATAATTAACTCCTTTGACCATACAACAAATATATACTATATTTAACTCTTAAATTTGAGGATGATGCTCCTTTCCTTTGTTTCCTTGAATGACTTTGTCTTCCTAGACAAAATGCTATGATCAATAATAAAAAGGTCGTTTTAATTGCATTTAAGGTGATTTGAAATCGGGTCAAGAACAATTTGGGTTGAATTTAGGTCGAGTCAATAACAAGTCGTGTTGATTTCGTGTCGGGTTAGTAACAGATCGGGTTGAATTTTTGGTTCAGGTAAGTAAAAGGTCTGGTAAAATTATGGTCAGGTCAATAACAACTCGGGTTGGATTTGGGTCAAGTCAATAACAAGTTGGGTTGATTTTGGGTCGAGTTTATAACAGGTTAGGTTAAATTCCGGTCGAGTTAGAAACGGGTTGGGTTGAATTAAAGTCAGGTTAGTAACAAGTTAGGTTAAATTCGGGTTTTGACGGGTTAAAATGGGTTTGGGTCAATTTCGGTTCAAGTCAGGTTTGGTGCAAGTTAATTAAATTGGCCGTTGTAAATCGATGCAAGTTGTAAACCGGTAAATTGGCCGTTTAAAAGCAAATTGGATGGTTCCACACACCCAATTGGACTCCTGGAGGGTATTAGGGACCATGGTAACATTTCAGCAATTTTTATTTTCGGGCGAAAAAAAAGTCAAAAAATTCCAAAATTGAAGGCTAATATCAACGTTTTTTGAGAAATTCTGGAGATTTCAGAGCCCGATGTCGAAAAGTCTTGAAATTCTATGGGAAACAACTTAGGGTCATCTCGGGGTCGAAAAGTCTTGAAATTCTATGATCATTATTTGTTGTCATCAATGTTCGTGGTAGGCTTGAATTAATGAAATCGGTGCAAGTTGTAAACCAGTAAATTGGTCGTTTAAAGGCAAATTGGATGGTTCCACCCGCCCAATTGGACTCCCGGAAGGTATTAGGGATCATGCTAAACAGTTCCGCAATTTTCATTTCCGGGCGAAAAAAGTCGAAAAATTCCAAAAGGCTAATATCCACGCTTTTTGAGAAATTTCGAAGGTTTCGAGGCCCGGTGTCGAAAAAGCTTCGAAAATTTATGGGATACATCTCGAGGTCATATAATGCCGTTTGGAATCATATATAATCAATTACATGCTGTCATAAATTTTCGTGGTAAGCTTGAGTAAATGAAACCGATACAAGTTGTAAACCGGTAAATTGGCCGTTTAAATGAAAATTGGATGGTTCCATCCACCCCATTGGACTCCCGGAGGGTAATAGAGACCACGATAAACATTTCGGCAATTTTTATTTCCCGGTGAAAAAAAGTTTAAAAAATTCAAAAATTAAACGCTAATATCTATCTTTTTGAGAAATTTTGGAGTCTTTGGGGCCCGGTGTCTAAAAGTCTCGAAATTCCAGGGAATACATCTCGAGGTCATATAATGTCGTTTGGAACTATATATGTTTATTATTTGTTGTCATAAATGTTCTTGGTAAGCTTGAGTTAATAAAATCGGTGCAAGTTGTAAACCGGTAAATTGTTCGTTTAAAGGCAAATTGGATGGTTCCACCCACTCAATTAGACTGCCTGAGGATATTAGGGTCCATAGTAAACATTTCGGCAATTTTTAATTCCGGGCGAAATAAGTAAAAAAATTCCAAAATTGAAGGTTAATATTTACGCTTTTTGAGAAATTTAAAAGGTTTCGGGGCTCGGTGTCAAAAAGAAATGAGATTTTAGAAGATACATCTCGGAGTCATATAATGCTGATTGAAACCATAAATGACCATTATATGTTATCATAAATGTTAGTGGTAGGCTTAAGTTTATGAACTCAATGCAAGTTGTAAACCGGTAAATTGGTCGTTTAAAGACAAATTGGATGGTTCCACCCAACCAATTAGACTCCCGAAGGGTATTAAGGATCATGGTAAAAATTTTAGAAATTTTTATTTGCAGGCGAAAAAAAGTCCAAAAATTCCAAAATAAAAGGCTATTATCCACGCTATTTGAGAAATTTTTTAGTTTTTGGGCTCGGTGTCAAAAAGTCTTGAAATTCTAGGAGATATATCTCAATGCCGTTTGGAACCATATATGATCATTATTTGTTGTCATAAATGTTCATGGTAGGCTAGAGTTAATGAAATCGGTGCAATTTGTAAACCAGTAAATTGGTCGATTAAAGGCGAAATGGATGCCTCCACCCACCCAATTTGACTATCGGAGGGTATAAGAGATCATGGTAAAATTTCGGTAATTTTTATTTTCAAGCGAAAAAAAGTAGAAAAATCCAAAAATTGAAGTTTAATAGCCACGTTTTTTGAGAAATTTTACAGGTTTCATGGTTCAGTGTCGAAAAGTCTTGTAATTCTAGGGGATACATCTCGGGGTCAGACAATGCCATTTGGAACCAAATATGATAATTATTTGTTGTCATAAATGTTCATGGTAGACTCGAGTTAATGAAATCGGTGCAAGTTGTAAATCGGTAAATTAGTCATTTAAAGACAAATTGTATGGTTCCAGCCACCCAATTGGACTCCCGGAGGGTATTAGGGACCATGGTAAACATTTCGGCAATTTTTATTTCCGGGCGATAAAAAGTCAAAAAATTTCAAAATTAAAGTCTTATATCCACACTTTTTAAAAAGTTTTAGAGGTTTCGGAGTTCAGTGTCGAATAGTCTTGAAATTCTAGGAGATTTCTCGGGGGTCATATAATGCCGTTTTGAACCATATATGAACATTTTTTGTTGTCATAAATGTTCATGGTATGTCTAAATTAATGAAATCGAGGCAAGTTGTAAATCAGTATATTGGTCATTTAACGACAAATTGGATGCTTCCACCCACCTAATAGGACTACCGAAAGGTATTACAGACCATGGTAATTATTTCGGCAATTTTTATTTTCAGGCGAAAAAAGTCAAAAAAATTCAAATATTGAAGACTAATATCCACGCTTTTTGAGAAATTTTAGAGGTTTCGAGGCTCAGTGTTGATAAGTCTTGAAACTCTAGGGGATATATCTTGGGGTTATACAATGTCGTTTGGAACCGTATATGATCATTATTTGTTGTCATAAATGTTCATGGTAGGCTTGAGTTAATGAAATCGGTGCAAGTTGTAAACTGGTAAATTGTTCGCTTAAAGGAAAATTGGATGGTTCCACCCACCCAATTGGACTCCCAGAGGGCATTAGGGACCATGGTAAACATTTCGACATTTTTTATTTCCGGACGAAAAAAAGTCAAAAAATTCCAAAATTAAAGGCTAATATCCACGCTTTTTAAGAAATTTTTGAGGTTTCGGGGTTCGGTGTCGAAAAGTCCTGAAATTCTAGGAGATAAATCTCATGATAATATAATGTCGTTTGGAACCATATATGATCATTATTTGTTGTCATAAATGTTCATGGTACGCTTAAGTTAATGAAATCGGTGCAAGGTGTAAACCGGTTAATTGGTCATTTAAAGGCAAATTAGATGGTTCCGCACACCCAATTGGACTCCCAGAGGGTATTAGGGACTATGGTAAACATTTCGGCAATTTTTAGTTCCGGGCGAAAAAAGTAAAAAAATTCCGAAATTAAAGGTTAATATACGCTTTTTGAGAAATTTAGACGGTTTTGGGACCTTGTATCGAAAAGAAATGAGATTTTAGAAGTTATATCTAGGGGTCATATAATGGTGATTGAAACCATTAATGATCATTATATGTTGTCATAAATGTTCGTGGTAGGATTAAGTTAATGAAATCAGTGCAAGTTGTAAACCTGTAAATTGGTCATTCAAAGGCAAATTTGATGGTTCCACCAAACCAA